ACTGCGAAAAAACACGAGATTTTAGAAAAACGGTTTTTGTCAGATTCTTCGTTAGATCATGGGGTTTTGGTAGTTGTCAGCGTGAAATTAGAGATCAAGAGCATGAATATGATAAAAGTATGCTAGAATTGGGTTGCAAATAATGAAGAGAACGATACCAGAGCCAAACCCCGTGCCTCCTGATTGGGTAGCGAGGTAGCGCACAACACGTGGAGACGCAGACGAACAAGGGGAAAACTATAGGACGGTAATTGGCTCTGGTCGTAGATCTCCGCGGGGTCTCAATGACAGCAGCATTGTATATGATATTGATCGTCATGACACGACTAGAAGCACTGACAACGTCCCAAGCGTACAAAATCACTCATCAACGAGATACCTGCATTTTCGTGTGCGACTCTCTGCGCAAGATGCGCATCTCGGTCTTATTAAACTTCAACAGCTTTCGTAAGCTTTAAAACGCAATCCTAACCCAAAAGAAAGTTGGGTGAGAAATGTTGTCCTTAATTTTGGAAAAACGTTCACAAAAACCTTTCAGGGCTAAAAATGGTATATAACGGATTTTTGATTTTGCTGGGATAATGCAAATATTATTCCCTATACTTGCTTCACTCACATTCATCCTGATCTAGTTATGATCATAACATCCGGGGCTTCGCTCAAGTAAAGGTTGTGTTTTATCTGGCGCCCAAAGTGAAGGTTATCAGAGTACTATGGCTTTACGTATCGAGGGGCTCTGGAATCAGAATTTGTCCATTGTGAAGCGATGGCAATGCGACGCGAAAGTTGGCGAACTTCGGCGGAGCCCGGCGATATTTTTTCACATACGAGCGGTAAAGTTCTTCGTGAACAGATGTGATGATCAACTCTGAAGGGCCAGATCAGTAATAAAAAGATATAAACAACTAAAATAGCGGTAAATCTTATATATAAAGCTGAATGTCTGTTTGTATGTCTGTCTGTATATCTGTATGTCTGTCTGTATGTCTGTCTGTACGTATGTTCCGAATAGAAAATTCCATTTCTGACGATCGGGACCAAACTTGGCACACATACACTTCGGGCCCCGGCGGGTGTCATAGGCTACTTCTAGTATCGATCCATATCGATTTTATCGATTTTTTGCAAAAATTGAGCTACGGGGCTGGGAGTTGGCACAGGGGGTAATCGAACATGCTGATTACAAATATGTTGACATTGATCGATAACGAAATGTGGACTGTGACACCCGTCGGGGCCCGAAGGGTATGTGTGCCAAGTTTGGTCCGGATCGGTTGAGAAATGGAATTTTCTATTCGGAACATACGGCGGAGCCGGGTAAGCCAGCTAGTTCTATATAATGAGCGGATGTAAGGCGTTAGGTGACAAAACGTGCAAAACACGATGGAACTGAGGCAATACCCCCGTTGCGTTTGCCGTGTTTGCAGTTTGGCGTTAAACGCGGAATTTGAAGGGGCACTTAAACGAATAGCTAATTTTTCCACTACCTGCATTCGGCTACTCAGTCTACTTGTATATTCACTCCTACTTCTACACTGACTTTTTCTATTTTAAACGATGTCTATGCTTCTGATTCCGAGTATCAGTTCAGTTTAGCCTTTCAAGAAGAAGTTCTTTCAATCTTTCTTTCCCTTGCTACTTTTTGCAGAAACTTTGCAGAACTTATCCTTCGTAGTTTCTATGTAAGCCTGTAATCAAGCGGGTTGGCGAAGACACTCTGTAACCGGTGTCCTTCATCATGTTATCATCTACCATAAACCCTTAGGCACTTTCGTTTTCTTCACAATGTTGAACCTTTGTTTCTTTCCAAGTTATATAATGCTTTTATTTCCAGCGCAAACTCGCAACTATTATGGTCTTCAAGGAAGTCCACAAAGTTAAGTCAGGGCTGGCACAGGTAGCTTATAAGCAAGATGGATATGGTTTTTGGGAGAAAACGCAAACGGGATATCGTCTTTACCAAAAAAACACAACTTAGGTTTTTTTCAATCGACGTTTCGTTTATCAGAGCTGTTTTATCTTTAGAATTTATGGTCAATGGGAATTCGTCGTAAAATTTTTGCGAAAGTCAACGAGGACTTTGTTTCATGCATTTTCGGATAGCCACCTCTTGCCGAGCCTTGGTTATATTGAAACAAATCTGAACAAGTTAACAGAGGCACGCGACAAGGCCACTTATACCATCATGATTCTTATGTATGATAATTATTCAGTCACATTAGTTAATCCCGATAAATATAAGAATTGAGTATGCTGCTTGATAAAATACCCACAACTTCTGCAAACACGTCTGCATCTGATGATCTAATTTAATCCATACTTTGGATTAGGCTTACCTTTTTCGATGATCTCATTTTTTGCGAAAAGACCTACGCCGTTCATTCCCAAAGAGGGTCGATAAAAGAAAGAAGCATATCCTACGCTATTTTATAGACTACCGGGCTAGTAATGTGCTACACGTTCACTTCAAGAAAGAGCTCGGATCATGCTTATCATCTCAGACAATCGCCGGGGGCAGGCGGTCCGCAAACTCACGCTTTTCTGCTGGCGGTAAGCAGAATTTTGGGGCGTGGCCAAACCTTCAGCGGGCGGCACTTCCTTTACAGTGGCATATTCTGCCAGCGGGCAACAATACAGCATTTTTTGCAGCTAATAATTTCTTTCGGCGAGCGATGGCCAAACTTTAAGCTAGCGCTCGGACACTTTTCACGCAGTTTCGGGCGTTTTTTCAGTTTTTTAAAAAATTTTATATGGAACACACACACACACACACACACACACACACACACACACACACACACACACACACACACACACACACACACACACACACACACATACATACATACATACATACATACATATATAGATACATACATACATACATGCATACACATACACACACACATTTCTACCTCACCGAAGATAATCTCTGAAAACATGTCAAATTGAATCAAAACATGTCAAGTTTTCTGCCAGGTGGCTAATGGACAGCCCTTCTTAGGAACAGCGAGAGTTTTGGAATCAAAGGACCTATATCAAGAAGCTCTACGGAGAAATAAGTCCGGATAACGGAAAAGTAACCAAATGCAAGTAGTACTCAAACGGTCTCCGTATATTAATCACGATGACGCTATGAAAGCGATAATGAAGTGCACAGCTGAACAGCGCGACTTCGTTTAGTCCAAATCCCAGCTGGTGGTTGGATTACATCCGATCTGGCACTTTACACGCATCGAGATATATGGAACACTTAGTTTACTGTCTCCAGCTCATTTCCGCAAACAATCTTTCTTTTGCGCCAGTTTCAACAGTGAGATTCGCTGAATAAGCAATGAAATGCAATGAGCGAGCTTTGAAAGCCCCAAATGATAAAGATTTTCAAATGTTGGGTGCAACATGTAATTAGTTTTTACAGAACTAGGTTCCGGGAGCTTTGCTTTCAATAATTCCAGAAAACCTGTGGTAAGACGCAAAGATTTGGTGAGAATCTCGAAAATGGTCAGGTTTAACAGTGTTAAAGTAGTGGGTTTTGTTTTGTCCTTCCGGAGTTATTCAGGCTATTATATAATTAAATATAAAACAATGCTTTTGGAAGGGGAAGGTGCTTCAAGAATACCGTCTTATAGGTATAGTCCCATCATTCCTTATATGAGGAAGGTTGAAAAAAAAATGTTGCTAACATCGGGGGTAACCTAACATATAATACATTAATGAGGTGTTGGTATGAAGCACCAATACAGATTGAAGATCACACGTTTACGCTAAAGCCCCATTTTCAAATTTAGTTAAGGACATTCATATTTGTTTTCCAGCTTGCTACTTGCTATGATCTTGCATGCAGTTGGATGCCAACCATCTTAATTTAAGCATAGTTAAAGTGACAAGAGACATACATGCAAGCGATAAAATGAAACCTTTTGGCAACAGCTGTGAGATCCCGGCTTCGCTTGGTCCTATCAACACAACATGATAAAAATCACCATTCTATTTCACTTCCACACAGCATTTATTTGTCCCTGTCCTTCAATTTGTCGCTTCCTACCCTTCCTATGTTTTCGTCATCCACATGCTCACTTGTCTCCCCTCCTCTCCTACCGAGTCAGTCGGTTGCAAAGCAATTTCCAATAGAAATGAAATCGATACCGATTACAGCGAAAAGTAGCCTCCTCACCCTGGAAAGTATGTGTACAGAGCTTGGCGGGATTAATCAATGATATTTGTTCGGAACATACGTACACAATTACAGCGGGCCGAGGCCCTCTTCCGCGAAGTTTTCGAAAGTTATAGGCTGCTGCACGACGAAGGCGCAATATCTTTGAGTGCGAACGATGTTTCATTGCCGCAGAGCACAGGATGCGCAGGATTTACAATGTGAAGATACGCGCTTGCAGCGTTCGCGCCCGCTCAAATAATTTTGCTTCTGCGCCTTCGTCATGCAGCAGCCTTTACTTACGCGAGTTATGCAAATGTGCAAATGACTACTTCATAGTTCCAAATAAATATAATAAGTTTCAAAATCATGTAAAAATTCAATTCAGCTTTTTACAAAAATTTCTGGGCTGTGGCTGCCGCCGCGCCTTCTTTCTCCTTTCGGGATCATTCTGGGATCGCCACTGATACACAACAGAGACACGATAAACAGGCATTCATTTTTATTCTTGTATAATCAAAGTGAATGCTACAAAAAACCAAGTTCTGAAAGTTTCTCTTCTACTGGCTTACTGGATTCCTGATGTAGTCAGTAGCTGCTACGCTCACTGTCGTTTTGGACACAGTCTCATTGACGAAACCACATTTTCTTAGTAAATAGCGTCTGTAGGGTAAAACATAGTATAAAGTAATGCAGGGATCAACCACGATCACTAATGGAGAGATCAAAACCCCTATATACTCAGCTGCGAGGCAGCGAAACGATGTAAATTGTAGCAGCAAGTACAAACATAAATGAGGGGACGAGAACAATACTGTCGCCAAGGCTTGAATTATAAGAGCCTAAATTACTGTTTTAGAAAAGTAATCAAAGTGTTATAAAAACCGTGACCGTGGTGGACCTTTATCATCATCTTGAACACTTGAAGGTTTTTCGTAGACATATCTTCCGCTTTTTCCGCGAGAAAATTCCTCGTCTGAAGAAACCTATGGCTCAAACGGAAAAAAAATTTGTTTGGTAAGTTGAGTGCGCTTACCTTAAGCCCTACTGCTATCATTACAATGTACGACGTTATTGCAATACCGCATAACACAATAATTAAGTACATGATGTATATGTTTTTGACGTTCGGAAATCCGCTATAATTCCCATATCTTTGCAAATCATATTCTGGTCTCAGCTTATCCATGATGGCATGTAACTCCGAGAAATCTGGATTACTTGCCAGTAAAGCAATCTGAAAAGTAGCAAGATTAACTTAACACGTTGACGACCGAGCCATTTTGTGCAAAACTCCCACCAACGTTGCTTGGGCATTTGGCTCGTGTCATGTGCGGCGCGTACGCACGAAATCATCATGTGGGAGTCTTTTTGGCACCTACTCATGAAGCATGTAAACATTTTGTGAAGTGTTCACAGGATTAGGTGTATTTTACGCAGCCCTAATTACACGCTTGAAGTTTCTTTTGCGTCGCTTCTTCCTCCAATAAATCATGAATCTCTTTTTTGGAAAACTGTTGTAATTCGGGTATAATTGCCTGAATTTAGCCTTGATTGCTACAAAGTTTTCTTTTTCAGAAAAAAAGATACGATTAGCAGGATTTTACCACCTCAAAAATGGGCTAAAACCTAAATTTGAGGTCTAAATGCACAAACAGCTACTGTTGCTCTGCTTTCTATATGACAACCAAGCCAACTATTATTACTGCACAGAAGTCACCTCAGAGCTTTTCGTTTTCATTTGAAAGACTGACTTGCATACGTAGGTCTTTACGGAAGTGAACGGGAGCCAGGGGGTGCATACTCTCGTATGCACAGGTCGTCAACGTGTTAAAGGACGAAATACCAATCTACTCACTCCCGTCGATAGCGGGAGCAAAAAAGTAGCCGCGGAAAAAGCCAGTAATTGCCTTTCGCTGAAACTTCTTCCGCTAATGGTCACATATCTATAGATCATGCACATTGCAATGGTCATGAAGGCGTAATATTCAATAGCGAGCCATAGTGCTGTGCAAAAAAGCACAAGGAAAGGCATATCAAGAAATCTGGCTGGTCCGAGGGCAACGTAACCAAGAGAGTCGCCTGCACTGACCAAGCTATAACACGTAATAATAACTTCTACGATTAGAGCTTGTATTGCCTCACCGCAACTGTAAGAAGAACGTCAACAGAGAGTGCAGCAGCAGCGTACATGTGGTGTTTGCCAGCAGAATTCGATACTCTTTGATGAAATTATGCTTGTGTGCGAATGTCAACCAAAGCAGAAATGCGTTGAGGATAATTCCAAGAATGGAATATGTTGAGTATATGATGGAAGACAGATAGTCGAAAAAGTTTTGTTGTGCAAGTACGGTCGTGGTCATTATGAATCAAGTACCTGAAAAGGACATAGAATGCGGCTTTTTGTCGGGGTTAGATGTTAGTAGTCCATTCTAATCAAACGCTTGAATTCCAAGATTCTCGTGGATCTAAATAACAACTCAATAATCAGAACTGTGCCTGATGAAATAAAAAAGCATGTAGCAAGCAGAAGCAAACTTGGTATTATCATCCAGGTATATCAGTTACGCAATCTTCAGCCAACAAGCTACATACCTCGTTTTAAAGAGGCCAATCTAACTTCAATGATGTGACCACGTTACATAGATAGTCCTTATATTAGATGCTTTTGTATTTTGAAGATCTTGCTCAATCGAATTGCGAGTTTTGACTGCAGCCATGTTTCTATTTAGTAATTGGAGAACAGGCATTTCATCTTAACACGCAAACCATTTCTTATAAAAAACATTTTTCAAAGTTGAAATTAAAACGTTCAAGGAGATACTTTGAGAAGTTGATTTGATTTTTGATTTTTGAACTGTTCTCAAGAATCTAAGAGCATTACTTTTTCAATCGCCCATTTCTGATAGAGCTGACAAGCATCACAGTATAACTACCGACCCTGAATCTCGCAAAATACACTCAAAATGCAGAGAATTTGCTTAGTACATAAACAGACAAACCCAATAGCAATCTATAGCGCAATTAATGTAGTACATTTCTCAAAAATGTCCGTCGGCACCTCCCATTCTTTGCATATTGTTTAATAATTCGCGATTGCGCAAAAAGTAGCCACTATTGCTGGACTAAGCGTTCTATTAGTTAGAAAAACGCAAAATCGTTCAATCAAACGAAAAGCCGCTATGCTGTTGAGCTCAATAAAAGTGGATAAACGATTTGGTCAGTCTAGGAGAAATGTGAGGCAAAAGGAAAGGAGAGGGAACAATTTTCTTTGGTCACTGCGACGCCTGGCTTACGATAACGACTGAATAAACTTTTTTAACGCAAGAGTAAGATAATAATCTTCAATTTCGATGCAAGAGCTTCTCTCCAAACTCTTTTTACTGTCGATTGGATGAGATATAATGAAGAAGGAGTCCCTGCACGTTCTTCAACAAAAAATCTTTTATTCCGAAATGCCAGATTTGAATTACTAACACTTCTTGAAGCAAGTGTGTTAGAACATATCCAAACTCACACCTTTTGGAAATGTCCTATTACACTGAGCATAGTTAACCCCAAAGCACTGGGGCATGAACGAAAATGAAGACAAGCACACAATTTGAAAGTTCCGCTTTCTTTAAACCTGGGCATAATTCGTATAGTAGAAGTGCTTCTGTGCCAAACAGGTTTGTTAGGTGTTCTTTATTTCCAATCACGGCCTAAGGTTTCGAAGCCTTTCGTTTTCCTCAGAGGCCTGAAAATGGCTCAAAGCCTCACCCGTGAAACGAAGCCATCAAGTATTATTTCCACCCCTGCTAGTTCCCAACCTTCGTTCAACATTCCTACTGTAAAAATTGTTATGCCAGAAGATGAACATACCCCCATACCATACCCCTCACTTCCGGTGCGGAACCCCAAAAAGCGGTGTTCACAGGGTATGTTCATCTTCTGGCATAACAAATTTTACGGTAGGAATGTTGAACGAAGGTTGGGAACTAGCAGGGGTGGAAATGGTACTTGATGGCTTCGTTTCACGGGTGACGCTTTGAGCCATTTTCAGGCCTCTGAGGAAGACGAAAGGCGTCGAAACGTTAGGCCGTGGTTGGAAATAAAGAACACCTAACAAACCTGTTTGACAAGCACACATTTATTTCTCATTTAGGATTAAAAGGTGGGGGACTTCCTTTCGTGCATATCGCTATTAACTGAATGGACGGCAGTTTGTGTAAGCCAAATTGATGAAAAGATGGCGACTTTGTAAATAATCTCTAAAGAATCGTTTGTGCAGACTAGAAATTCGTAATTAATCCAACTCAGTTTGGAGTGATGTGCCTCAAAATCTTGCAAGCAAATTATGAACTCTTATATCGCAGCATTGAATAAGAAAACAATCAGCGATCGTAAGAGTGGTAATAACTTCGTTCACATGCCAAAACAACTGCGGATATGTCATTACTCCGTCTAGGCAAACATTAGGGTTCTCCAAACAACTACTTGTGAAAACCTTCGGAAGTATACTTAAAACTTGAAAACTTGAAGATTGGCAGTTTACATAGATATTACGTTAGATATTACGTCTGGCACGAACATCAAATAACATGCTAAACTCTGAGTAACAAAGTATACAGTTGGGGAATGGGTTTATGGATGTTGCTCAAAAGAAACTTTCCTCATCGAGTTTACCGCTGAGTGCCATTCGGACAATTTTTGAATCCTCAAGACTACATCAGCACAATTTTCCTGTATGTGCTTTGTTTTGCATATGTTTACCATTGAGGCTTCAAGAATTTACGGCTTTTCAGATAATCAGTTACTTATATACCGTTTGTTTTCCATTTATCTAGACATATTTGGCTTTCGCAACAGATTTATTGCGTGCAGTCAACGGCCAATCCGTCATACTTCAAGTCCCTTGTGCAGAACACATGTTTTGCGTTTCTTTCCTTTATAACACAAATGATAACGTAATTTGATGTATTAGTGTGGAGAGGAAATTTTCATGCTAAAATGTCAAAAAGAAAAGAATGAAGATGTTGCAGATATTTGTACCATGCAAAGATGTTTGCTCAATGTTTTAACAAGTGAATCGAGCAAGAGAAGATCTGTGTATCTTCAATTTCATATTCTAACCAGCATTTCATAGGAAAAAAGCTGACATAATTCCTGCTTACACAAATTATAATACGACTTCCAGACAACCAATTACCGGAATCCCACGCTGTGATAATGCATGGTAGAGTGAGTGATTCCAAGGCACAGCAAATTTGAGCCTTTCTGGCAAAACTGCAGATTAAGTATAAGTTTGATTTTGATCAGCACAAATCAAAAATTTTCTGGTCGGGGGCGTTTGTGCATACACTTGTCATCTACGAAATATTGTAAACAGAACGCATCCATTGAAACAGTGCAAATTCGTTTAAGTAAGTGCATCAGCGCTGAAATACTAAATTACAGTTTTAGGATACTCATCCACATGCTAACACAACTTTCAAAGATTTGAATACTGAGAAGAAGAAGGAAGACAGACTTACAACACCAACACATTGAGAAAGTGTGTGACAACTGTGTTTCGATGATTCTTTGCAAAAATGGACTGAGAGTATTGGTGAGATTGCTAACGTGTACAATGCTGACTCACAAGCTATGCTCATCATCCTAAAGGCAGAAGCGTCCGTTAGCGCTTAACAGGTAATTTTGCTCAGTCTTGAGTGCAGTCAAGTAAGTTTTGTAATCTCTTTCATAGCTTTACTCTTTATATGGTGCGCAGTGCGCACAAATTTTGGCAATATGTACAGGGTGTCACAAAAAATGTGCCTACTGTTTGATCGTTGATAACCCTCTTGTAATAGACTCTTTCACGTAGCTTTGATTATTTGTAGAGCTGGCTTCAACTTAGGTTTACGTACAAAGCAAATCACCGATCGCTCTCCATTATTGTAGGATCACGAAAGAAACTTCAAGTAATCGCTGTGAAATTCTGCCGTTTCAAAAATTTCCAAAAAAATGTGAAAACTTGTGTTAGAGGTTTTTCGTGGAGGCTGAGTTCAATACTCAACTATGTACAAGATTGCGAAGCTTTCTAAGGGTTGAGCCAAACTGCGCGGCGTACGCGCTATGCTCCTATGATGAAATATACCGAGCGTACGCTGCGTACGCCGCGTACGCCGCTTCCCCGCGAGGTCTGGCTCAACCCTAAACGACGTAACCGTACTTTTAAAACATTGCAAAAACGCTCGCTACTGCTTACTACGCATAATTTTTCAATGAAGCATCATGATAAGTTGCAAACTTCACATTTAGAATCAGCAACTCAAATTAGCTCCAAAGTTTTTAAGCTGTTTTCTTTCCTTTCTGAGGCAAAATATGGCCTCTCATGGCTCAAAACCCTCTTCAAAGCTTCTACCGTAATCCGACAGTAATAAAGAGAGATGGGTGATTCGTTCTATACTGTGAATCTAAGTTGAAGCTAGCTCTTCAAAATGGTACCTAAAGTTTCTCGAAAGACTTCATTACAAGATTATTAACAATCGAATAGTAGGCAGATTTTTTGGGACATTCCATAGATAGTTCTGAGTGCTACAAGAGAATGCGACTGTTTTTTTAACGAAGAACTAAAAAGTTCTAAACATTTTTCGAAAATAGTGAATTTTGAGAATATTATGAAGAAAAGTAAGCCGTTCGCGACCTAGACCATGTACGATGATCCATGGTTGTGTATGGACTTTTGCTATAGTTTGGCTCATTGGCTCACGAAAAAGAAACATTCTAAAAAGTCGGGATCTGGAGCCCTCATTGAAGGAGTCCAAGGCCGCTCAGGACAACAGTAGCGACTAAGGAGTCGGAACCTCAAACGCCAAAACTTTGCATAATGGGGTTATTTGATCCCACAATTACAGACATCATAATCACTTGCTGAATTAACTCCTCTTTTTTGTTTACGGTATAGGCCCATATGTTTACGGTATGGGCGTAAACCTACAGTAATGCCACAAAAAGTCCTTACATGAAATTTTAGTATCGTTCTCGTAATGAGCACGTTGAATACCCCCATGCCAAGTTTCAATTAAATCTGTAATAATTATAAGATCTCCCCTTACCATATACTTACCGTAACTCTCACTGCGACGTCAGAGTATGGCAGAACAGCCAGCAGCCGCACTTGTAGCTTACATCACAACATGCACAAAAGCATTTGGATGCATTATATTGTA